TTTCCCGCAAAGATACAGAACTTTAAAGAAACCCTTGCATTTATGGCATATACCACCGGCATTAGCATTACCTGACATGCACCTCGGAGAGGTTGCTGGACAGATTTTGCACATCATATGCCTCTGACAAGAACCTATTTTTGTATGTATTTGTGTGTGAGTATCTGTGTGTGTGTATGAATTATCGTCGAGAAACCTCGTTGAGAATCATTCTCGAATTTTGCAGTCCCAATTCAATTCGATTGCTTCCACATCCTGCAGTAAGTCCAGATTTGAACCCTACAGAAATTTAACAAGACAACCTGCCAATCTGTAAGACTTGTCGCAAGTCTTAACTCAATTTTGGAATGACATTCCACAGGAAGAAATTAGGGCTTGCATTAACATGAATAATAGGCTGCAAGGGATAATTCAACAACGCGAAGGAAACACGCGTTATTAGAATTCAAACATACAGACACACAGATACTCACACACATATACACACAAAAAAAGGCTCTTGTCAGAGGCATATGATGTGCAAAATCTGTCCAGCAACCTCTCCGAGGTGCATATCGGGTAATGCTAATGCCGGCGGTATATGCCATAAATGCAAGGGTTTCTTTAAAGTTCTGTATCTTTGCGGGAAAAAATGGTAGCGGTTTTTCACATACTGGAAATTAAAGATGAAGGTTTGTACTTTATGCTGCTGTAAACAGTATCACCAAAAAAAAATGTGGCAAGTCCATGCATTTCGTCAAACTTTGTAATTTTCAATATTGCAAACATGATCTCACATTTACGGTGTTATTGTGGTAGTGATGCATCAAATCTAAAATCAAACTACAGGGTCTTAAAGTAGAGATCTCAAGCTTTAATTTGAAAAAAAGAGCATAACTTTGCGATGATTTTTCACGGAGTTATCATCAGTCAAATTTGGCCAATTTTTGCCTAAAATTTTTCTATGCCATATTTCTTTTGAGCAGTGTATGTAATCATCACATTTTCTTCCATAACTTTTTCTTCAACTTCTTTGAAGCAAATTAATTGCTGCATTTTCTTTACTCTCTCAATAGATTTTTATTAGCTTTCTACAAGATCCTGCACTACAGCGCACACTAATACGTACATATCATTATGATAACTCCGATCTAGAATTAAGTGCAAATAATGTATGTATCTACTAATAAAATATATTAAGTCACTCGATGTACAAAAGTGCTTGAAAATAAATATGAATAAAAACATGAATTTGCATTATTTACTTACTTAAAAAACCCGTTATTCCGATCCCCATAAATAACCCCAAATTTTAAAAAGTAAAAAATAAAAAACAAAATATTGAGAATTTGTACCAGGACAACATGCATTATGAGGAGGTATTCTTTGTGCAACATACAATGTTCATATGGCCATTACACGAATTTTCGGGGCGGCATTTTTAAAATTCCACCGACCAATTTTGAGAATTTGTATCAGGAGAACATAAGTTTCGAGGAGGTATCCCTCGTGCCACTTCCTGGAATTTTGGTGACGTCAAATTCCAAGAATTCCCGGGCGGGATTTTTGAAATTCCACCGACCAATTTTGAGAATTTGTATCAGGAGAACATAAGTTTCGAGGAGGTATCCCTCGTGCCACTTCCTGGAATTTTGGTGACGTCAAATTCCAAGAATTCCCGGGCGGGATTTTTGAAATTCCACCGACCAATTTTGAGAATTTGTATCAGGAGAACATAAGTTTCGAGGAGGTATCCCTCGTGCCACTTCCTGGAATTTTGGTGACGTCAAATTCCAAGAATTCCCGGGCGGGATTTTTGAAATTCCACCGACCAATTTTGAGAATTTGTATCAGGAGAACATAAGTTTCGAGGAGGTATCCCTCGTGCCACTTCCTGGAATTTTGGTGACGTCAAATTCCAGGAATTCCCGGGCGGGATTTTTGAAATTCCACCGACCAATTTTGAGAATTTGTATCAGGAGAACATAAGTTTCGAGGAGGTATCCCTCGTGCCACTTCCTGGAATTTTGGTGACGTCAAATTCCAAGAATTCCCGGGCGGGATTTTTGAAATTCCACAGTCCAATTTTGAGAATTTGTATCAGGAGAACATAAGTTTCGAGGAGGTATCCGTCGTGCCACTTCTTGGAATTTTGATGACGTCATATTCCAAGAATTCCCGGGCGGGATTTTTGAAATTCCACAGTCCAATTTTGAGAATTTGTATCAGGAGAACATAAGTTTCGAGGAGGTATCCCTCGTGCCACTTCCTGGAATTTTGCTGACGTCAAATTCCAAGAATTCCCGGGCGGGATTTTTGAAATTCCACGGACCAATTTTGAGAATTTGTATCAGGGGAACATAAGTTGTGAGTAGGTATCTATCATGCTACTTCTTGGAATTTTGATGTTCTCTTGATACAAATTCTCTCTGTCTAATATGTAAATTTTTATTCTGTTGGGTTTGTTAGGCAACAATGAATGCGCAATGATCGTGGATAAATTTTTCTTTATTTTAAACGCTTTTCATACAGTGCATAACTTAATGAAACTTATTTTTTAATCATTTAATTACTAACTTGTAGAACGCCCGTACTATGCACGTGGAATTAATCAGGTAACTTTGGCACTCTGCGCGGTCCTAAAGCGTAAAAGATAGATATTCGCAGTAAATTTTTTGCAAAGAAACTAATCAGAGAAAGAGTAGTCGATGCACCCACAATAATGATTTAACTAGTTTTTTTGTATCTCTTAAAAAATGCAAGTGGCGCCACCAAGTTGCAGCGTCGAGAACTAATGAAAATGCAGTTTCAAAAGTATGTCATTCATCCTGTTCGCCGGAGAGATGGCGCTATATATTCCATTCTCGTTGATGACGTCACGTTTTGAAAAGTCGCGCGTAAATTTTAATTTTTAACAACATATAAGAATGAAACTTTCCGAAAAATATAAAACTATTATGTGTTGAAAACAGTTCGCACATTATACTAAGTTTCTTCCGTAATAAATAATTACAAAGAATTACATAAAAATAAATTTTTATACAATAATTCGTAGATAATTTATAAAATATTCGCACGAGGATGTTATTAAAATAATGAATTACAATAATTAACTTATATAATAATGAGTTACAATAAAATTTATTGTAATATATTAATTGACAATCATTTCGCAACATATCTGCTAGAGTAAGCTAATAAAAACGACGAATTTTAATAGTTACAAAAACAATTTTATAAATAAATAACTAAAAAATTATTAATTACAATAAAATATATCGTAATATATTAATTAACAATCATTTTGCAAAATATCTGCTAGAGTAAGTTAATAAAAACGACGAATTTTAATGGTTACAAGAACAATTTTATAAATAAATAACTAGAAAATTATTAATTACAGTAAAATATATCATAATACATTAATTAACAATTATTTTGCAACTTATCTGCAAGAATAAGTGAATAAAAACGAAGAATTTTTATAGTTACAACAACAATTTTATAAATAAATAACTAAAAAATTATTAATGACAATAAAATATATCGTAATATATTAATTGACAATCATTTTGCAAAATATGTGCTAGTGTAAATGAAGAAAAACGACGAATTTGAATAGTTACATCAACAACTTTATAAATAAATTACTAAAAAATTATTAATTACAGTAAAATATATCGTAATACATTAATTAACAATCATCTTGCAACATATTTGCAAGAATAAGTTAAGAAAAATAATAAAATTAAA